ACTTGGCTCTCATACGTGGCTGCTGCCCTCTAAACTACATGATAAAAACCTCAGGATGTTGAAGGCACTTTGGTTGTTATCAGATGGACACAAAGTAATTGTTAATTCCTTTGTACATTTCAGCACACAGAGGGTGGACTTTTTTTTTGTTAGATGTCTTGTTGAAAGGAGGATCAGCTGTTGCCATGACAGAATCGTTAGGAGGGATAGCAGTCCAATTAGAGCTAATAATAATGTGGTCTCCCAGGTCAACTGATCCGTCTTCACAGCTTGTGATGTTTGTAAGTAGTAGTAATAGGCTGATGACTCAATTGGAGATTTTGTTCTTAGCATAATGGAGAGCGGGGAGATAATAGGTGCCTTCAGATAGCGCCATTCTTATATTTATTCCAGAGAGCAGTCAGGAAGCATGACTAGCCTTTGTGCTTGCTAACTTTATTCCAACACTGTTGCTCGCATACAATTCTGCGTTTACTTTACAAAATAACCAGCATGTATGTCAGATTGTCGCTCGAGGTTCATCAATATTGTTTTTTGTACTAGTGTACTCTTTGTAAGCTTCACCAATTGATTTCTTTTGTTTATCCTGCCTGAGAACTGTGCAAGTACTGTTCAAATGTAGAAAATACTTAAAATGTCATGGTATCAAAGCCTAAAGTTGGTCCGTTGTGTGTTTTTGCATGCAAGCTCATTACTGTGTTGTCAGCTGTTCTGCTTAGCGTAGCAGTTTCTAAATGATTTCACTTGGGTTTTATGAAGTAAATTGGTGTAGATGACATTTTCTTGGCACCTCTTAGCCTTGTTTATCTCACCTTGGTTTGTATTTTGGTTTAATTTAGGATTGTAAGCCAACCTCGTTTTCTGTGCAGTGAGTGCTGTACGAACCCGAAGTTCCGGTTTACATATGAGCAGATTGGTTGCGGTTTGAAACGCATCCAATCCACATGACATGTGAAATAACATTGCTTCCTATGGTGCCGGGTTTACATATGTCTGATGAAGTGGCAGTGCAGATTGAAAGAGTCCTGACCCATTTTTGAGCATTGCAGTCCAGTTACAGGATATTGACTTTTATGGGGACTTCTTCTGGAATTGCACGTCATTGAAAGTAGGTAGGTGGTCTTTTTCCTTTGTTCCTTGGGGGCCCCCTCAAGATACCAATGGTCACACCTGGACACCGCTACGAGATCTCGGAAAGTGAATGCACTCAAGTCACCTCCGTTGCAATTGCAAACACTTCAGTTTTAATGGCATAACATCAGGGGGGTTATACGCCGGGTATACTATAGTCTTTGGGCAAACACACCCTCAGACCATCCAATCAAATACGGTACATTTTTTTTACCTTAACTCAACAATTATTTGTATGAGGTTTGCATTTTCACTCTTCTGCTTTATCTGTCACGCCATATCTGGTCTAACGCCCAGACCATGGCTGTAATCTGACCCAACGCCCAAGTTGTGGTTACAACTTTTCAGAAATGAGAGTAAAGCTTATCTGCTTTTTTGTAAAGTTTGCAATCCCAAACCACTTATGTTCTAAAACACTGATTTCTACATGAAGCTGTCATAGACTGTTTTGTTTAGTATGTACATATCTCATATATATGTTAAACTAGCATCTTGTATTAGTGTATACAAAATGGATTCAGTTATATTCCATTTAATCCTTTCAGTCATCAGTTGTGAACAGGATAAAATCCTGTCCTGAACCTGGTCTAAACTTGTCTTGATCCTGGTTTAAACCTGACCTGAACCACTGAACATCTACTGTGTCAATTAGCTGTGAAAACGGAGCTTAACACCCTGTCACATCGATCCTGACTTTGAAGTCATGCAACTTCACTGTAAGTCGCACAATTTCAAATTTGGATGTCATTGCAATTTGAGGTGTGATTTGCAAGACATCTGACACAGATGTGTATGCAAATCGCACCAGAAGTAGTACATGCAATACTTTTAGAAATCGGTGTGGCTCCGACCAAGTCGGAACCGCACTGATATGACCGCTGTAATTGTGGACAATAGGGTGCAACTTGGCATGCGATTTCCAAGTCGCATGGCATGCAAATCGCATGCCAAGTCGCACCCAGTTTGATCCAGGTCTTAAACTGATTAATGGAGAATGCTATAAGGCTGCTTGCATCTTGAGAAGAGTTTATTAATCTGTATTGAATCTACATCTCTGAAGAATAGTAAGAGCTTTTGAACACAAGTTGCCCTTTTGAACCTTGCCTTAATTTTAAGATCAGAAGTGTAGGAACAACGCATTCACAGGCATCAGAGTTAAAGTGGTATTAAAGGTTCAGATTTATTTATTTTTTTAAATGGCAAACTTCATACTCTACCCTGCTCTGTGCAGTGGTTTTGCACTGTGCAACCCTGAGCCTCTTTTCGGAACCCCTGCCGCCACTCCTGGCTCCTCCCCCTTGCCCAATACCCCCAATAGCAAACTGCTTGCTATGGGGGCACTGGTGCATGCTAGCTCTCAACCCAGCTTTATGCGTCCATAAAATGCAGAGAGCCGCAGCTCCACTTTGCCCCCCTGTGCTCTCCTCATTGGCTCACTGGCTGTGATTGGCAGCAGTGGGAGCCAGTGGTTACCGCTGCTGTCTCAGCCAATGAGCAGAGGGAGTCCTGGGACAGCTTAGGCTCTGGTGCATATCGCTGGATCAAGAGGGATCTCAGGTAATTATTAGGGGGGGGGGGGGGGGGGGGGGAAGCAGCACACAGAAGGTTTTTATCTTCATGCATATAATGCATGAAGTTAAAAAAAAAACAAAAAAAAAAAAAAAAAAAAACTTCAGCCTTTACAACCACTTTAGGTGGCTGAAGTAAAAGTTTAAGGGGTTTATTCTTTCTTTTTAATTTTGGGTCCCAATTACACTATTGTTAATGGGACAGGTAGAGAAAAGCGCCCTCTAAAACAGGAAAGGGGGGGAGGGGTGTTGGGTTGGATAAATGGACTGTTTGGATTAAAGTGGAACTTCATCAAAAGTGAAACCCTGCTGGTTTGCTCCCTCCCCCCAGCCTCTGAGTTACAGGTTTTTTAGGGGCGAAAGGAGTATCGCTTGTATCACTTACCTGCTCCAACTTCTACAATTCTTGCCTAGGCGAGGGTGACGCCCCTTTCCCTGCTGTCTTCTGGCACACGTCACATGTTCAGGAGGCTGCAGGGCCATTCACAAAGAGTCAGCTGTGGTTTCTTAAGAAGCCACAGTAAACACCCTTATCCAAAATGGCAGTGCCAGAGACCCACAGTGGTAACGAGCAGATAAAGTCCTCAGGGAGCAAATTGCTATAGAAATATAAATTAATTAAAATAGAGGATCATTACACCTGTTACTCGTACATTCTTGCTTGCCCTCTTGAGAGCAGCTTTGTTTATTGGGGTACTTGGCTTCTGTCAACCATTATCTAGATCCTGCTGCAGTCACCTACCACTGGGTCGCACCTTACTAGTTTCCTGGCCACTGCACTGCACTGCACATAACTAATTTTGTACCTTGGACTTATATGGGGCACTTGCCTACAGTTATAGACTGCAATGGCAGTAGAAAGCTGCAGCACAGGACCCCCGATGTATCCGCTCACCATAGAAATGTATTCTTACAAATACTCTAGCCGCTTAGGATAGTGATGGGTGTTCAAGGTGTCCCAATGCTGTGCTGTTTTAATAATGTACAGTGAAGCACCTGGCAAGAGTATGAATGTATTGAAGAAATGGTTGACATTGTAAATTAGTCATACATAAACTGAAACTCTAACCTCTAATACCAGTTTTGTGCTCTTACCTTGATTGAAAAATGTGGGATATTTGGAACAGGATTATTTTTAATATGTTTATTTTTGGAATTTGTGTGGCTTTACAATCTGCCTGTTGTGTATTTTTAGCTCCATCTGTTTGTCAATATGTGCAGAAGAAAAATATCTGCATAGTAACATTGTAATTGTGTCAAATGTAAGGGCCAGTTCACACTACATGACTTTCAGGGTGCTTTTTGGGTTTTTTTTCTGTATCCAAAACGCACAGAAAAGTAGGTTACATGGTTGTCAGTGTCATAGTTCACACCAGTGCTTGCAGCTCCAGTGCATTCTGGTTGTATAAAAAAAAACATGCAGCATTTTTTCTGCACTAAACTGTACTGGAATGCGGTAAAACGTACTGGAATGCACTTGAGCGCACACGGTCCTATTTAAATTGAAGAAAAAGAGGGGGGGGGGGGGAAACTCGACCACACCAAAAACGCATAAAAAAAAAGGTGCACGCAGAAACGCTTCCGGAACACATCTGGACTGCATTTGTATAGTGTGAACCGACCCTAAAGCCGAGTACACACGTTCAGAAAATCTTACAAAAAATACCGGTTTCGAAGCGATCGTACAATAATCTTATCGGTACACCGCTTTCATCTGAAATTATTCAAAGGGACAAGCAAGAACATTTTCATTTAACCAGAACAGTTTTTGTCCAAAAATACAGTACAAATACATTACAATACATGACATCACTTCCGAATTCTTATTCTGTCCTATGACAGTTTTCGTAACTTTGGGAAACGTTTCATTATCGATATGAGATTAGCATGCATAAAGGGACGATTATTGGTCCGATATTCTCATGGTGTGTACAGGGAGATTGAGCTGCTGTGATCCAGCAAGGGAAGGTGACTAGAACCTGCAAAGTGAAAAGCGGGCTTGCTAAACAAATTATTAATCATTTTTAATGTCTAAAAGTTCCAATACATATATTTCAACTGTGTAATTAGCCTCTTATCCAAAGTTTTACAAATTTTTTTTTTTTATTTTACCCTGAATTGATCTGGAAATTTCTAAATTTGAAAATATTTTTGCTAACACAATATGAAATTGAGATTAATCTCCAAGATAAAGAGGAAGTTTTCTACCAAAAAGTGATTTAGAATAGTTTTAATGAGTTTTCAACAAAAGCTCTTTGAGCCTTGGGAGTTTTGTAACCTTCTTGAATTTCTGCCTTCCAGAGTATCCTCATAAATATGGAGCTCAGGGGGGATGTGCAGATCACTCTGTGTTTGAAAGAATGAAATTATATCAGATGTCGGCTCAAACTGAACCAGAGAAGCAGGTAAGTCCTGTTTTTTGACAGTTTCTTCAGAGCCTTAAAAGGCTCGTTGCTCACAATTCCTTGTTTATGTTCAAAGAAGAAATATATTATAAAGTATGTTCGCTGTTATTTTATAGCTTATTTTTTAATATAGTAAATTATATTAAATGTAGTTCATTAAAAGTTTACACTGCTTAAGCTGGCTGTACATGGATAGATTTTCATTTGAACTTTCATTTGAAATTCTGAAGGATTGCTTTTGGTGATGCCATAATTGAAGACCTATTAAACAAGTTTCCTTTATTGTTTATGAAATTAATGAAAGATCAATGCAAAGTAAATTGTTAATCAGCCAATGGGGTTGAAGTGGATATAAATAAATTTATAACCCTGCCTAGGCTGTTAATTTTTGCTAGTGTCCTTGGGTGATGGACCTCTTCTCCTCTGGAGAAGTTTCTGTCACGGTCTGACTGCTTATTGCCTACGGATGCCTAGCAGTTTCCAGGTCGGTAACCCTCAGTATCCACCTTGGGGACCCTGAACCCCACTTTGCGTGGGCCTGGTCTGTAATATTTGTTTCAGGCACAGGACCTTGCATTAGGCACTCACCTTGGCACGTTGTTACAATGAGTCTAGTTACCTACAGGGTGCTATACAAGTCCAGGGCCATTGACAGTCTAAGTTGTTTGCAGACCATAGGTATACCCACTGTGTATGGGTTCAGAAATATGGATAATGTATAACCGGATTTCCCTGCACTCTACATCAATACTTTGGTTACTTTACTAGCAAAGCAATTCTGCCATGTTGATGTCCAAGAATTTGTCCACATGCTTTGTGTAGGGAAAGATCTCCTGGGAAATGCAGTTTTGGGAGCCTGCCTATGTCAGTAGATAAATTAGTCGTAAGCAGCTGATCTTTACAAGACCAGTGATGACATAACAGGGAGTAATGTAAGTGGTGATAATCCCTGTCATTTTTTTTTTTTTTTGCCATTTGTGTCCCATTCTGGAGATTCCCTTCACTTCTTACCCTTAGCCAAAACAGGAAGTAAGAGGAAATCCCTCCAAAGTGAGGAACTCCCCCGGCATGTCACCAGAACTAGTGTCCCCACTGGAAGATTCCCCCTCTTTTCCTGTTCTGATCTCAACCCAAAATTTGGGATTTTGTTTCACCTTCGATGATGTAAAAACAGGACAAATAGTCCTCCCTAATGGGGGCACAGACCGCAATCAAACCTGAAAATACACGGATAGGATCCCAGCCTAGAGATTCCAAATACACCCAAATAGAGATCTGAATGGGCAAGATATTTTGGGATTTGGGCTAATTGAGCCACCTGGTAGTATTTTAGAAGATGTGGTAGACAAAGGCCCCTGGACAGTCTGCTTCTTACTAAGGTGGACCTTCGCAGTAAATGATCCAAATTATTTTTGTAATGTACAGAGTTTGCCACGGGGATGCATAATTATGTTGGAGGGAAGCAAGGCTGTCCGGTGCTAAGGTGACATTAAGTGCTTTAGATTTACTCTCATTCACCTCTGGTCCCAATAGTGAAGCAAATTCAGTGAAAACAGACCAAATATTGGGGAGGTATGTGTGGGGCTAGGTGATATAAAGAGTCACATCATCAGTGAATAAACTCAGTTTGACTGGAATTTATCTTCTGAATTTCCAACAATCAACAGCAAAGATGGGACGATGTTTTTATGTGCCAGTGACAATCACTTACATAGGATAAAATACACAGTTTGTTTTTTTAACCTTTGTTGATTTTGACAAAATAACGCAACAAATTTATCGATTGTGCACAAGTCGTCATATTAACATTCCGCATCATATAGTGACCAACAGACCATGAGGAAAAACACAATTCAATTTATGTATCCAACTGTTGTTGGGGATTGGGGGAGGGGTTAGGGAGAGGAGACAACTCACCACTCCATGCCCTCAGGCTCTCAAAGTCCCCAGGAAGGTCACAAACTAAGGAAAGGCAGAACAAAAAGCAGGCCCAATCCTACCTGAATACCCAAATGAAGATATCCAAAGACTACTTGTAATGCAACATACCAAAGAAACGCAAAAAGGGAAATGTACCCACAAGGAGGATCTAAAAGAAGATATTCACGAAAATATAATATTTACCAAAAATATAAAAAATAGATAAAAAGTAACAACCATAATAAAATCAATTAACAATGTGTATATATACCCTAAAGACTGCTGTTCAACAGTCTGAGCAGTTGTCTGAATTGGGACAGGAGGCGAAAGAGGTAGGGCCAAGTGTACCACCTCCCTGATGGAAGCAAACCAGAACTAATACTCAGTTAACCAGTTCTATTGACAAATTCTCCCCTTTTAATTTGTGTTCTTGATACCTCAACTGTCTTGTATTGTTCTTTTGATTGTGTTAAATGCCCAATTTGATGCGTGACACACCTTATATCATCACCGTTACTTACATATACATGCTTTCTTGTACTTTTTTCTTTTTTTGCCACAAAACCAAATAAAAAGATTGAACTCTAAAACTTGACAAGAGTTCTAATACCTCTCCACTGTATCCCAAGCTACAAAAAAATATTTGCCTTTAGTAACACTTTAACCACGTAATAGAATTTGTTTCTGCCTAGCTTTTCGCTTTACAGGTACATTCCAATAAAAATTTTAAATCAATCTTGGAGATGCATTAAGGGCATCTCAGGGCCTCAGTTTTTCTTCCCTGAAATACTGTGTTGCACCAGTCTATCCAACTGCCGTATGTAATCTGATTATCTAGGAACCAGTTTTGGTTATATTTGTAATGTGGAAGAGCTGCACCCAATCTTGTTCATTTTAGAGTTACCAAAATTAATACAAAAGCATCATTGTCACACGTTTCATTCATAGCTCACTTAATTCATTACACATTGCTACAAATTGCCGTTTGTGACGGTCACTGAATGGTCACTTTATGGTTGTATCCATGCTTCTTACTATGTGCTGTGTTATGTGCACCTTGACGTATGTTGCGTTAAGGCAGCCTATTCTTTTGAATAGATTGCCTAAGGTAACCGCTCCAGAAAAGGTGCATGTTGTACTGTTTGTAATGTAGAGCACTGCAACACACAGTGTATTACCAGCAGCAACACATGTTCATTGAAATGGTGCATTGGGGTGCCATTCAGAATAAATGGCACTACTGTGTATTGCGATAACATGCGGTACTGCACAGCAGTGGTGTGAACTTACCCGGAAACATGCAGATGGTAATTTAATGTTTCTCATCTTCACATACATTTTTAATTTTAATAAACAAATTTTTTTCAGTTTATTTAATATTAGCATTTGTAACACCCCTTTTTATCTTATGAATATCCTAGGAACCTGTGGATGAACATGAAGAGATTGGTCCTGTCATCCTTAGGAAGAAGCGAGCTGCTCAGGCAGAGAAAAATACTTGTCAGCTGTACATTCAGACTGATCATCTATTTTATAAGCGATATGGAGAAACAAGAGAAGCTGTGATAGCCCAGGTAAAGCCTACTGTTTATTACTATGGGAAGACTTTGATTCAGCTACATTCTAGTAAGGATTACTGCATTAATAGAACGGAAGCATTGATGCAGCTCTGCAATAGACTTTAGAGTATGGTCCGTCCTTTTCAGAGAGGATAGGGTGCAGTAGTTTGAACACTGGATATCCTTTTCACTGTTTTGTGGTCAAGACTTCTTTACACGTGCACAATTTGTTAAGCAGTTCTTGTGAGACTTGCTGCTGTACTCAAAGTGTAACTCTAGCTAAACAGCTTAATACATTGTTAGTTTTGCTATGTTTTCAGTTTTAGTTGTCCCAGGATTTTAATTCTAGTGATACACATTTATGTCAGACCACTAGACTTCTTTCTTGCTTAGTGTTACTGTTTTGTAGGTTGGCTCACTAAAGAGGAGCTGCTTATTCATTAGTATGAGTCTAATAAATCAGCACATTGGAGTTGTACTTCAACAGTTCCAGCAGCTGGAAACCCTTATGCTTATTCACTAACCATTAGGAGGCTGAAGGTGAAGAGGTAACATGCTGAACTCCAAACATTCATTTTTAAGGCAACTTTCACACGGGCAATCCAACCAGGCCCACCTGTCAGTTTTTCAGATGGACCTGATCGGAATGTTCATGCATTCCTTTGGACAGTCAGGTGTAAATGGACTTTTGTCCATTTACACCGGCCTACCATTGGATGTGGTCCGCTAAAGAAAAGCGGAAGGGGATCTGTCCTGTGCAGTTTCGGCAGATCAGATCTGAGGGTAGATGGGTATAAATGGACAGCAGAGTTTGTTTACTCCTGGCCGCCCGTAGAGTTGAGCGGGCTATGTCCGTGTCCGCTGTGTAGAATTTGAGCTGACATATGTGTCATTCGTTTGTTCTGCTCAGAAGTAGATCTTTCAGTGGTATTCCCTGATGATCGAAATGGAATCTGCCCCATGTGAAAGGGGCCTTAAAGTGATATTAAAGGCATTTAAAGAAAATAAAACATGTTATACAATACTTACCTGCTCTGTGCAGTGGTTTTGCACAGAGCAACCCCGATCCTCCTGTTCTCGGGTCCCTTGCTGGAGCTCCTGGCAACTTTCTCCTGCCAAATGGCCCCTGAGCAAGCAGCTTGCAATGGGAGCACCTGAGCAGGCTAGCTCCTGAGCTGTTGCTTTGCATGTCCATTCAAACGCAGAACAGTGGTTCGGCCCCGCCCCCTCTCTCCTCTATGGCTCGCTCAGCCAATGAAAACTGAGAGTCCCTGGGAGAGCCGAAGCTCTTGTGCACATTGCTGGATCACGATGGGGCTCAGGTAAATATTACGGGGGCTGCTGCACACAGAAGGTATTTTACCTTCCTGCATAGAATACATGAAAGTAAAAAAAAACCTTGAGCCTTTACAACCACTTTAATCAGGAAATACATGTGTCAACAGCCTTCAGTGCTGGGTGGCAAATGTGTGAATCATAAAATTGGCTTTGCAGAATTACAAACCTTTTTGCAAGAATATCATAGCTATGCCGTGCGTTTTGTTTAACAGAAAAAACTCTATACTTTGTTTTTGGGCTGCACCTCATTATATACACATACATTTTACTGCTGCATGAAATTGCATTTATTGTGCATAATGAACAGTAAGCAGAACCCTAGAAATCAAGGCATGAAAATGTATGTAATATGATTGAGTGTGCTTTAGTAGTACATCAAAATCTTTTGAATGCTCCTCATCCTTTTTGCTTAACACATCACTTAGTGCGGGGGTCTCCAAACAAAGGGCCAGTTTTCTGTGCTTCAAACTTTAGGGGGGCTGGAATTTGACCAGCGGGAGTAGAAAATGTCCTGGTGTCAGTGTTAGTAAATATTGCCCCATCATTGGTATCTGGGGGAGGAATGGTGCCCCATCATTGGTATCTGGGGGAGGAATGGTGCCCCATCATTGGTATCTGGGGGAGGAATGGTGCCCCATCATTGGTATCTGGGGGAGGAATAGTGCCCCATCATTGGTATCTGGGGGAGGAACAGTGCCCCATCGTTGGTGTCAGTGGCAGAAACTATCCCCACTGTTGCTGACAGTGGAGGAAATAATGCCCCAAGCGCTGGATAAAAGCAAGCAAAGGGCCACATCCAGCCCCAGAGCCTCAGTTTGGAGACCACTGCTGTAGTGTGTCACTGCTGTAGTTCAGAGGAATTATATTGAGCATACATCTCTAGCCTTGCAGTTAGCCTTCTGTTTGTAGGTATCCCAAGTCTTTACCACAGCCATTGAGGTGATTTATAATACTGTTTTGGCACCCAGAAGGCAAGATTTAGGGCTCCAAGAGACAGATATTTTTTGTTGCCATGAAAGCGTAAAGCTGGCCATACATGGATCCTGATTCGTACGGTTCAGCAGGAGGCAGCTGAATTTCGATCAATGTGTGGTCGTTCTTGTTCATGAGAAGTCGATCTATTGATAGTCTTTTCATGAACCAGTTTCTTTGTAAATTCCTACACAATCAGTGTGTGCAGCCAATAGGCTGCAGCACTGATCAGTGTATTGTGCTGGTGGAGGAGACCCACTGTCAGAATACAAGGACACAGCAGGGAGGATTCCTCATCCACATCAAATTTGTGGATGGGGAAATATGTTCCTTTTTTTTTTTTTTTTTTTCTTTTCTCTCTGGCTTAAAGTAATAAACTGGCCTATGTATTGCTAGCTTAAGTTTAAACCTTAATACCTTAAAACTCCTCAACCCCAAACCTTTGTGAGTTTTATGAAAAAATCTGTGGTGTTTCTTGTTGTATTTTTTCTTTTTTTTTTTGTTTTTTGGTGCATTGAGTGAAATAAATGCGATGATTGGAGCTAATGGGCTAGTTGTTGGCTATTGTTGTTTAAAATGGAATTGAAATCATAGGTAGATATACGGTAATTTATTCCATTGACTGTGCCTGCCATAATTCAGTTGGCTGTTTCTGTACGACATGCCCTCGGCCATATATCTGCCTTTTTAGGTTCAGTTTTCACTCTTTGTTCTGCCTCGCTTGACTCATGTTTCCATGATCTGGCTTTCTACAACTAGAAAAATTTTTTAATATCTTTGACCCTCAATACTTCCAAGCACATTATCATCCAGCAGCAACCTTGGCCCCTTGAGATATCTTTACTGTAATGGACTGTAGGCTCAGTCCAGTGACTTACTTTTTTCTAGTAATTTATTTTGAAATGTGTGAATTTCCCTTCCTGTTCTTCCTGCATTAGTATTTTCTTTCTTCAGTCTGTGTTGATGTCAAATGATAAATTTAGCGTTTTGCCTTACTAGAAATAGCCCAGCCACACAAGAAATTTCTCATGACCATTTAGGGTTGAAAATCCTTAGGGTAAAAGTCTTATAGAATAATACATTGCTATGTTTCATCATTGCATTTAAAGCTAAAATTGAAATGGCAGCCATAAAGGAAGGATGTAGTGGTGAAGGAACATGACACATTAAGTCATTTTCACCATGATGAATCCTCATTTTAAGTATTGCTTGTTTTGGCTATGTATATTTCTTAGGATTTACATTATAACCAAATGAGCAACACATGCCTTACTAGAACCTAAATTGAAATGATTGTTGGTGCCTATGCACTGGTCAGAAACTGGTAATACCGTGTCATTTTCAAATACTACAGTCTCTAGAAATTACATAGTGACTGTTCTGGACACCTGGATAATGAAAGATGTCTGATTTTCTAATTGCTTGTTACAGCAATGAACATCAGGGCATCTTTAAACCCATAGCATATGCGAAAACTGGAAGAAGATGGTCTACAGCAGTGGTCTCCAAACTGCAGCCTGGGCCAGATGCGGCCCTTTGTTTTTCCTTTAACTGGCCCTTGGGGTATTATTCCTCCCGCTGAAATGAGCCACCATTCCTTCTACTAACACCAACATTGGAACAGAATTCCCCCCACTGATATAAACTACAGAACACTATTACTTCCACTAACACTAAAGATGGTGCACATTTCCTCCCATTGGTATCATCATTGGGGTACTGTTCTTGCCACTGACATAAAAAATGGGGCATAATTCCATCCACTGATCTAAAATATAGAGTACTATTACTCCCACTAACACTAAAGATGGGACACTTTTCCTCTCACTGATACCGTCAATGGTGCACTATTCCTGCTACTGACACCAATGCTGGAGCACCAGTCCTTCCCTGATACCAATGTTGGGGCTCCGGTCCTTTCACTGACACTTCTATTGGGGCAAATTTCTTTCATTGATACCAGTGTTGGGGAACCATTCCTTCCACTGACACCAATCTTGGGGCACTATTCCTCTCACTCATACCGGTAATAGGGTGCTATTCCTTCTACTGACACCAATGATTGGAAACTATTTCTACTGCATTTTCCACTCCCACTGGTTACAGTCTGGCCCCCCTAAAGTCAAAAGACCAGAAAACTGGCCCTTCAGAACATTTGGCGACCCCTGGTCTACAGTAAAGGCCTACAGATAATTTATGGTGTCAGTCATAAACTGAAGGTACTGTGAGCACCTGATAGCTAAAACTGGATCATTTGAAAAACTTAATCTGGTTGGCTCACCCTCTTTGTCACCAGGTTAGAATGTGATGGGAAATCCATTGTTTTACAGTTGTCACCAGAACAGGAAGTGAGGGGAAATCTTCTACTAACAGTTTAAAAGGGGATGTTTTCCTCACTTCCTGTCGTCTTCAGTACAGGAAACAAAAAAATAGAACAGACTTGGCAAAAAAAAAAAATGCATTTTTACTGCCTCTTTATCATGCAATTGGAAAATGAATTTCTTTTTGCAAACATATTATAAACAGACATTTTCCCTTCAAATACTTAATATAATGTATAAATCCTACTTTGTTATAGCCAATTTACTCCATTTGCTATGTTTAGACAATATAAACATAAGCATGCACAGTACTGTAAATACCGAAATAAATATTTAACCGCTTGAGTATACGTATATACGAGATTCATTATTTCCACGTAGGGG